TCGCCGGCGACGCCGGTTTCTTCTGCAAGGCCCGCGGGTCGGTCCTGTTCGGCGACGGCAAGAGCACGCTCGCCGCAGTCGAAGACGCCGACCTCATGACGCCCTTCAACACTAGCCGGACCACCAACCGAGACGATTTGCTTTCCATTGGCGAGATCCAACTCGGCTTCCGCTGGCAGTCGCTCGACAAGCGCGGTCAACCTTACCGGCCGTTCCTGACCGCCGCCCTGGAGGGACAAGTCTGGAACGGCGCGGGGAACGCCACGAGCGAAGACGGCTCGCTCGGCTTCTTCGGTTTCAACACCGGCGCTGGGCTGACGTGGTGACACAGCGGGCTACCGCTCGTGGTCGTTCTTGGATTCCTTGTCGCGCTGCCGATGGAACCGCTGCTCTAGTTGCTCTTCCCAGTTATCCAATTGCCAAGCGGCTTGTTCCTTTTCAGACGCATCTGGCGCCTTTTCAGCTTGGGTATGCCGGCGGTTTGTCCGCTCGCTCGGGTCCTTTCGCTTCCGGGTTCGCTTCGGCTTCTCGGGCTCGGCTGTCNNGTAGGGCCGTGAAGGCTATCCCTGCTAGTTTGATCTCGTTGCTTAAGAGGGACGCCGAAGGCACGATTGGCTTCGCTCGTGAGGTCAATTGGTCTCGTCGCAACAAGTGTTTCGCGAACAAGCTGCTCCTGGACGCGATCGAGCTTCTGGGCTTTGACGCGAGCCCGGTACGCTTGCAGTTCGGCATTGCGCTGCCGCGTCAGTTCCCGCCGTTCCACGCGGATAGCTTGCTTCGTAGCGTCTTGGCGCTCCTTCATCGCCGCGGACTTGCGGGTGTAAGCAGACTTGTTAGCTTCGAGCTTTTGAGCCTGTTCGGCTTTTTGCCGATCCTGGACCAGCTTCTCCTGCCGCCCCTGCTCCTCGCGTAGGCGGGCTTGCTCTTCCTGCTGACGCTTGGCGAGCACCTGCTGGCGGTGACCACTATCGCTCAGCGTGTTGAAAGACCGTGAAAAGATGCTCGGGCCTTTCTCGCTCGCTTCGTGCTGCCTGGAGAAAACCGCTTTCCAGTCGGTGTAGCGGAGGACGTTATAGGCTCGGCCGAGGAGGGTGGTTTCATTCTTGCGGAAGACGTGCCGATCAGCTTCTTGCTGGTTGAGCAGTTCCTGCCAGGGTTGGTCATACTCTTGGCGGATTGCGCGTACCTGCGCCGTCATTTCCTTCTCGCTCACAGCATTGATCCGGCGGCTGCGTTCTTCGTAGCACCACCGTAGCCGCTCCTGGTGCCGCTTGTGCCGGGCCTGCTGGCCTTCTTGAACGACCGTGCCGTTGGGATCAACCTGGCCCTCAACGCGGCGCGTGAGGTCGATCAGCTTCGCTTTGTGCTCCTCGGCAAAGGCGCGTAGCTTTTCATCCTGCTCGGCCGCTTTCTCCAGCTCGTAGTGATGCCGGGGCTGCTTCTTCTTGGTCGGCGTCTTCTCGCCCGCGTCGCGGTGCTTCCAGTTGCGTTCGCGCAGCTTGACGACCGGCTCACCATGGACGGCGATCTCCCGATCCAAAGCGAACCGGCTGAGCTTCTCCTTCTCTTTCCAGTTCGTCTTGAGCCGTCCGTCGTCGCCGATGAAGCAGCAGACGATATGGCAATGCGGATGCTCGGTGTCGTTGTGGGCGATCACCAGCGCCGGGTAATGGTCGGCCCCGATCGCCCGCAGCGCCGCATTGGCCGAGTAGAGCATCTCACTGCGGTCCAGGTTCTGGGCGTCCGCCTCGTCGCGGCCCCAGCTGATGAAGAGGTGCCCGACCGGTTTGCCGTCCTTCGGGCCGCCCAAACCAACACCCGCTTTGCGCTTGAGTTCGTCCTGGGCGTAGTGCTTGGCGGCCATGATCCGCCAGGCGACCTGCGGGTTGTCGGTGGCGAGGTTACGGACTTCGACGAAATCGACCCGGTCGGAGGTCTTCGCGCGGTCGGCGTCATGCAAGCAGTACTGCGCGACGCCTTTGAAGCTGTAGCCGCGTTGCAGTTCAATGAACATGGCTTGTAGCGACCTCCAGAAGCAGCCCGTGCAGGGATTCATAGATGGCTTGCCAATCGTGGCTCCGAGAGGAACCGGCGTGCAGGTCGGCGACGGCGCGGTTGAGTAGGGTGCCCACGGCGTTCAGCTTCACGACAAGCCTTGGTGAGACAGAAATCTCTTCCAAAGCAACCCTTTGCAACAT